ATAGTTGAATTTTGTAATATTTCGAAATTTTCGTTAATGTTCTACAATGATTTCGAGAAACTTCTAGATTCTTTTTTTACTACCATAAAAAGAACGATCTACATCGACAAATCGGGAAATCTCCCCGACTGTAATGGCCAGCAATTTTTTCATATGAGGGGCCCTTATTCACGATAGTTTAGGTATTAGTAGTTGGCATCCATTGTGATTTTAGGCATGCTATCAATGAAGTCTCTTGGAATTCGCTCCCATTCTTTAGAAAAATCTCCAATTCTTTAAGGCTCTTGGGATGTTTAGGATGTTTTTACGCAGGCCGACGGTCAAGTTCATCCCATAGATGTTCGATGGTCAAAATCTGGCCAATCTGCGATTTCCCCCATGGTTGAATCTTTCGGTCAAGGAATCAAAATTAACAAAATAAAAAGATGCGTGGAAAGTAAGGCTTTTTATTGGTACTAAAATCATTATCAACTATTTATTACACGGAACCTTTGGCCAGTACAAGGAAAAACCGGTATATATAATGGTACCATCATAAGATCAGTACATACGAGGCAGTCCAGTTACTATTACTATTACATATTCACTTGCTGCTGTTGATTTTTATTCAACTTGATTCACAAAATCATCTAAGACTTTTTGCCTAAGTAAGACTTTCCACTTTTTTTTTTTAATCTATACTACGTCTCGTAAACGTAAACTAGTATATTAATATCTTCCCGTGTAATAAACGAATTATCCGGCTGTTGTTCAGTTATTGTGTTAAGAGCGGTTAATGCCGTCCCAAACGAGATCTTTTTTTGAGTCTCACTGACTCCCTCACTGAATTCATTCGTATCTTGCTCATTAGTCTCAGATAGGTCATTTACCATAACATATTGCGCTAAATTCGGTATTAATTTTCATTGCTCATTATGCCCATATTCTCATTTAATTGTAAATGTAGGTGACTTTTGAGACTTGACTTTATATCAAACATGCGTACAGTAAGCTCGTAAAAGATTTATGTTATTGACGTTATATTCAACGTCAATAATCTCGAACAACAAAAATTTAGCAGAGTGATTATAGTCACAATGTAATAGAATCAAACGAATCTAATTAATAATATTTCCAATTATTCTATAACGTCAGCCAACCACTCTCCAAGATCGCTGATAACTTTCATATTCTCATTTTCTCCAAGAAACTCATTTGCAATATCCACAGTGCAATTTTGTACACTTTTAGGACTATATGCTCGACCTATTTCAATGTAATTTATCGAATTATTCATTAGACAATCAGAGATATGTGAATATATCAAGTCATCTTGTATAATGCTTACCTTCGAGTGCATCCTCAAAAGCCCTAATGACGTTATCATGTCTCGTGTGATCACTACTTATTGTTATTGATATGACTATTCCCGATCTTGATTTAATAAATGTTTTGAGACGAGCCCAATCAAACGACTTTGAGACCTCATAAGTAAATTCTGGAGTTTGTCCATATGTCCAGTCCCATGTCTGAATATAAAATTGCATTAGTGACGAGGTATGTGATACTACAAATAAAAAATACGTAAACTTGCCTTGAGCTCATCAGAATACTTGAATACTTGTGGAGCTAAGAAATCTTCTTGTAAATGTGTAGGGACAACCTGTTGGAATGAATTTCCTAGGTAATCGAGAAGTATAAGCTTGTATATCGACTCAATCACATACTATACCTGTTTGTCGGAAGAGTATACACCACTAAACTCCTTCAACATAATCTCACAAAATCTCTCATGTGTCACATATGGATTAATTTTATTTATGTTTATGACAGGTGAAGTAACAGACTCGACACCTTTTGTACTCAGAATCCCCTTATAGCAGATGATGGTTTATTTGACGGACAAACTATAAAGTTCTACATTTCAAGGGAAAACATTAGATACAATGCTTACCTTATGGGACACCTTGAGACATTGTTTCAGCATTTCCAGGTTGGACGAAATCAACATTGTACCATGGTGGTATGCTCTAGAATGTATCAATTTAAAGGCACTTCCTGAGATGTAATCCAATTAAGTTAAGGAATTTAATAAGCAAATTCAAAAGTTATTAAAAGAAATCAATATTATTTTCCATACAACAAAAAATTTTAATTTAGACATAAAATACTAATTTGCTCATGAGCCATTTTTATTTTAAGTCTTCTACAGTCAACCCTTGTCCACAGTCACACCATTTCGCTTTTTTGCAACGGGACTGTTTTTTATACAGATAGTATATTATGAAGAACAGTTTTGTCATGATTATATACTAGATTGTGACTAAATGAAGACAGGAGTTGACTGTTGGTGAGTCAGGAAAATTTTAAGTATATGCACCAGCACCAGTGATATTGAGAAAAATAATTATATGTTTACAGTTGCTGAAAAGAAAACCACATCAATACATATTAATGTGGTTAGGTTTGAAGTGTATCTCAAACTGAACAAGACTATGGGATATACCTTAATTCATCCTACATACTAGCAATCAGGCTCAATCATGTTTCTATTATAACTGATTAGTCAATTATGGCATTCACAGCATTGCAGATTACTAATCTCACAGTAAGTTAATAATTTGCTATACTGTAAAATTCCCATAAATAACTACAGCTTTGAAATCTTTTCTGATATCTCCCATGTTTACCAAGGCTTTGTTGGCTTCTTGCTTGTTCAGTAGTGCTACTTTTCACCTTAACCAGTAGCTTGTATCCCTAAGCAGGAGTGTACAAGAGATTTCATGTACACAGCTGCAGCTTATGATCTAAACTCGACTACTCATATATTTCATTTGCATGAAAAAGAATGTGGAGTCATTTCACTGACAGTCAACTAAGCGAGTTAAGTATTACTAACACTAGTAATACTCTGTATTATAAAAAGGATATTTTATATCCATTTACAGCAATATCATGACGTTCTGTCACATGAGCAGGTATTCCATCTTTCCTTAATGCTGAGGCTACAATCTCTGCATTAGTCTTTCTTGCAAACAGGTTTCGAGGAGTAATCAAGGAGTAATTAGTATTGCCAAGGTCCTGTGATTTATCATAATTAATTTGGGCGCAGGGCAATATACCAGCCAACGATGACGAACCCATTGAAGACACCTCACATGAATCACTGTCCCGCCACCACTCCTTCGTCGTATTATGGGAATGTTGAGAGCCCTTGCAACTTTTGTGTTGCATTCTTTCCATGGGTTCTATAATCAGGCTAGAAATCAGGAAGAGTTGAAGATACAGCGAAACTAACGGTTATGGATTATCCTAAAACCTGGTTTCGTCCAATTACAATACATGGTTTATTTCTCCACAGATAAAGTATGATAGTATCCGGATCCGAGTGACGGAAAAGCCTAACATCGAAGGAACGAATCAGGTTATCAACTATAAAATGTCCTCCAATAATACTAGCATATAATACACACGAATTTAGAGTTTTTGGATCTCTTTTATAGAGCACTTACCATTCTTCGATAGCAAGATTTGTCCATGGATCAGTTATTTGTGAGATATATGTTTGGAATTTGGTCTAACGATAAAGCCATTCAAATTCAGCAACGACAGTTCGGACAGTAACAAAAAACCAGATATTCTAAGTACATTTTGTGTATTTGTCTCGCTATATATGTATCGAGAATATGATAGCTGTCTTTTAGTAAACTGTCCGAATGCAGCCGAAAATCTAACAGGATGCTGTCGCATTTGTGACGGTTGAAAACGAAAGAAATGAACATGCAAATTCAATAAATTATGATTAGCCAATCACCGAATTTATTTTGTCAGAATTCTATGAAAAGATTTTCTATTTCCGAGTTTATGCTCACTTTCCTAATCAACCTTAGGAGGATTCTAAAGAGAGGTTTTGGAATTATTCTGTGATGACGAAGACTGTGTTGGAGATACTTTGATGCTAACTATTCATCCATTTATGATGCACAGTAAGACAACACGTTGATACACTAGTGTGCAGCATTATTACTTTTTTTTCTCTCAGTTTCATTAATTGCTCGATCATACGTAAAAATTATTGATTAAGAAGTCTTTTTGCTGCTTCGTTTATTAATGTCTCTTGATTTATTCAATCTCTTGCCATCCGAACAAGTGATCGTTCGTTACGGAGGAAAACAGTTCGTGCGCATCGCAGACGATAGCTTTGATTTGATTAAAGAAAACAAGTGCGTAGAATCGTATTGCTGAGGTGGTGAGAAACTGTCAAAGAAGATCTCAGCGAGGTTCTTACTGTTAAAGCTTATTGTTGCAGCCAAATAACAAATATTAATATATCCCAAGTATGAATTGATGTGTTGTAAACACCTTAGAGACATTTTTTATTATTCGGTAAGCCAACTGTTGTGGTGTCTATACTAATATTGAGAGAGAGAGTGATAGAAATTACAGAAAGAAGGTCCAAGTAGGATGTCTGGCACTTATAAATGTAAAATTGCTCCTGGAGATCAAAAATTTGACTGGGTCTATTAAAACGTAGCTAATTCTTGAAGCGGTTCTTTATACTATTGCTATTGCTAAGGGTATTTAAGCTCTGACTTGTGTGTTGTGTTAAACTGCTAAAATAAATAAAATATTGGTACGGATAATTGAACTATTCTCCCTGTCTGGTTCGATACTCTGGAATAAAATATTACTAGAACAACGAATATAATCCTTAGTCAAAGAGTATGTTAATTATAAAAGGCGATTAATTTCGACGTCTTTTTAAGGAGTTCCTTATAATCGTTCTCAGCCGTTCCTAGTGGATGGGTTGGTATTTTAATAAGCAACGATATGGTTTTTTAACAATAATATCAATTTGATGTCAGAGCTGCCTGTTTTTTACAGCGAACGTCTAACAATTCCATGTCATGTGTCGAAAATGCAACATACACGTGATATTAAGAGTTATAATATGCGTTCAATAAAATCCATTTCTTTTTATTGTCAATAAATGCTGTAGAATTGGGTATGTTCTTGTCCCTGAAAGAATCGTGTCTATGTGAAATTATAATGTCTATTTACGTGAATAAGAGTATTTTGCCGCAAGTAAGGAAAATCATTAAGCAAAGCAAGGCATGTACAAGTGAAAGCCAGTCATGCTGTATGTTGATTTCACACAAAAAGTCGTGTAAATTAATTATGTCTTGCTCAACGAAGTCGTGAGTAAGAATTTTTGCAAGGGAGATATAACCTTTATTGTCTTTCAAACATAATGGCATCTTTATCTGGATTGGAACACGCTTGTGTGTGATATACCTAATGTAGCGTCTTGATTCTGAATAATACATAAAAAAGATAAGTCAGATGAACGTCATCAGCAAACTTATTATAGACTGTTTCTATAAAGCATTGGCTCAAAATCGTCCGAGAAATATTAAATAGCACATATATTCACCTATGGTATCTATGTACACAATGTATGGAAATTTCTCGTCTACCAAGTCTCTAGCATACACCGACGGATTCAGTCTGCCATGCACTCGACTCAATAGCAATACGTCCGCCAGTTGTTCATCGTCTCTGTTGGGAATTATAATCCGTTTTATGTCACCGACATCGGAGTCCACTGGAACTTCATATTTCACAGGATCAATATGGTTTACAAATTGGAACCATAACGTTAACGTCCCTTCATTTCTCTTCCACCACGATGTTGGAAAGGCCCAAGATATGAACGCAAGTGAGCAGAAGACTGCTAGTAAAAGAGCTAATAGTATAGCATATTTTGCTTCTCCGCCTGATTTTGTGGAGTGTCCGGATATGATCTCCCTGCCAATTCTCATGTTGAGCGTTGATTCAGACATTCTCTTCACACAACAACAACAACCAATCACTGTTCAAAAGTTTGTGTAAGATCGCCACGATTGATGACGTAATATTAACGAGTTTATGTTATAAAGAACATTGTTCAAAGTCTCAAAAATATACTTCCCTCCCTCCCTAGATCACACACCTGATGTCTACAGGTAACACAGGTAAGTTTCCGCCGTACTTTGCCCTCTGGAATGTACTTAGACTCGTACTTATTATTCTGTCCCAACTCTGGCATAGAAGACTCTTTGCAAACTACAAAAAGACTTGCTTCCTATACCGCTCCTCCAGATGTTTATAGTGATTTAATAAATAGCGACGATGAAAGTGATCCATTTGCGCAACGTAGCACCTCACGGCGAATAATAGATCGAGAAAGTGAATATCATGCTAGACGGCTCAACCGCACGCTTTCACCAGAACGTCATGATCCCTTTGCTGAAGGGGAAGCTAACGGTGAATCGCGATCGTATGTTGAGGTTATCAGGCAAGCTGAGTTAGAGCGCGAGGAACGTCGACTGCTTCAAAAACTTGAGGAAAAGAAAAAGGAGACAAAGGAAATGGCAAAAGAGCAATCAACAGCGCAGAAAAAGAGAAGATGGGACATGGCCACGCCGGTTGATACAAAACCTGCTTCAGAATGGTCGAAAACAGACGAAGAGGAGACAAACACATCAAAAACAAGATGGGATGAAACACCTCGGGGAAGCTCTGATGCCTCTATGGAGACTCCCCGTAAGCGTAGTAGATGGGATATTACTCCCCTAGCAACAACCAAGAAATCACGTTGGGACGAAACTCCTGTAGTTGCTAATCAACTTGGTGCAACACCTGTCGGAAACCTGGGACTTGTTACTCCTACACCAGGTCATTTGGTTCCAATGACGCCTGAAGGTAAATGATGTAAATGTATTTGTAATAACTATTTGCACAATCTTAAGATGAAAAAAAAATTTTTTTCTATCAAGCTCAACGATGGGAGAAGGATCTAGACGCTCGCAATAGACCGTTATCAGATGAAGAACTAGATACTATGTTTCCGCAAACTGGCTATAAGATTCTTGAACCACCTTCGGGGTATGTTCCTATTCGCACACCAGCTCGTAAGCTGATGGCGACGCCTACTCCAATTGCTGGTGATGGCTTTGTAATGTTGGAAGAAGATCGTAATCAAACGTATGATATACCAGCTGAAATACCTGGGGTTGGTAATTTGCCATTCTTTAAACAGGAAGATATGCAGCATTTCGGTAAACTACTCGATGATAAGGATGAAAGCGAAATGTCAGTGGAAGAACTTAAAGAGCGAAAAATAATGCGATTGCTTCTAAAAATTAAAAATGGAACACCGCCAATGAGGAAAACTGCACTTCGACAGATAACCGACAAAGCCCGTGATTTCGGCGCCGGTCCCTTGTTTAATCAAATTCTTCCTCTGCTTATGTCGCAAAATCTCGAAGACCAAGAACGTCACTTGCTAGTGAAAGTTATAGATCGTATTCTTTACAAGCTAGATGCTCTCGTTCGACCATACGTTCATAAAATATTGGTAGTAATTGAGCCTCTGCTTATCGATGAGGATTATTTCGCGAGATGTGGTATGTATAGTTTTTGATGAAGCATTGGTTTTGTTTAATGGGTGGATATATAATTAGTGTGGAATTTATAAAATAACGTTTACATTTTTTACAGAGGGAAGAGAAATAATAAGCAATCTAAGTAAAGCGGCTGGACTACCGACGATGATCGCCACTATGAGACCAGGTAAGTTGGTACTCATAAGATAGACGTCATATATAAACTTCTCATATTTAACAATAAATGCTATCTTTCAGACATTGACCATGTTGACGAGTACGTCCGTAATACTACAGCCCGCGCATTCTCAGTGGTTGCATCTGCACATGGAATACCCGCCCTTTTGCCATTTTTGAAAGCTGTGTGCAAGAGTAAAAAGTCATGGCAAGCACGACATACAGGTATCAAGATTGTCCAGCAGATAGCCATACTGATGGGATGTGCCGTTTTGCCGCACTTGAAAAATTTAGTTGAAGCTATTGCGCATGGGCTAGAGGTAGTGTATACATTGTCTAAGCGCTGCAGTTACCCTTTCGCTGGTTTATTCTAACACGTTTTTTCTTCTATCAACTCGATAAACAATGAAGGATGATCAACAAAAAGTACGAACTATTACTGCTCTTGCAATCGCCGCTTTGGCAGAGGCTGCTGCCCCGTATGGTATCGAGTCATTCGACTCAGTACTTAAGCCTCTATGGACCGGTATACGCAAACATCGTGGGAAAGGACTCGCTGCATTTTTGAAAGCCATCGGATATATCATTCCATTGATGGATGCTGAATACGCTAACTATTATACAAAAGAAGTCATGATTATTCTCATTCGGGAGTTTCAATCTCCGGATGAAGAAATGAAAAAGATCGTACTCAAAGTCGTTAAACAGTGTGCAGCAACAGACGGAGTTCAACCCCAATACATAAAAGAAGAAATATTACCCGAATTTTTCAAGAATTTCTGGGTACGTCGTATGGCACTTGATCGCCGTAACTATCGACAAGTAGTAGAGACTACAGTAGAACTTGCTCAGAAGGTTGGTGTCACCGAAATAGTGGGCCGGATAGTCGAGGATCTCAAGGATGAATCCGAACCATACAGGAAAATGGTTATGGAAACTATAGAGAAGGTTATCAGTCAACTTGGAGCAGCTGATATAGATACGCGGCTTGAGGAGGTCTTGATCGATGGTATTCTTTACGCCTTCCAAGAGCAAACCGTTGAAGACGTCGTCATGCTTAACGGTTTTGGAACAGTTGTTAATGCACTTGGTCTTCGCGTGAAGCCTTATCTTCAGGTATATATCAAAATGATACATTATTATTGATTTTTTCCTAAACATATCGCTAGCAGAAAGTTTTGTATTTGGCGCTGCATGCGAGGGTTAATATCGTTGTTATGTACGACACAGAATCAACGACGGCTTTATGACTTCACGTGGGCGTTTTCACTCGCTCGCAGACATTCTACCTGGTAATTGATCTGTAGAGGTGTAATGATTCGTCAGCTATGGTCACGACTTCACTGCGTAATTTTATGGATTCAAACAGCCCAAATATCAATTAAAACATTGTATTGGATTGTTGTCAAATCAGTATAAATCAAGGCTGTGGTGTGTTAATGGTTGTAAGTTCCTGCTCAAGCGTCATATTATACTTTGGTGAAGTATCGGGTGTATTGTGGCTGATGACGTTGAAATTTAACGGAACTACGATGTACTGTGCTGTTGGCCGGCCGTTGATTCTGTGAGATTTGTGAATATGGCTAAAACGTACTTAATATACGGTATACCCATAATATGTATGTAACGCGTAATAAATAATATACTGATCATGTTCCTTGTCATTTGCAGCAAATCACCTCGACCATTCTATGGAGACTTAACAACAAGTCAGCTAAGGTCCGACAACAAGCAGCTGACCTCATATCACGTATTGCAGTTGTTATGAAGACTTGTGGTGAAGACAAACTCATGGGTCATTTGGGCGTTGTGCTTTATGAATATCTTGGCGAGGAATATCCGGAGGTTCTGGGCTCGATTCTAGGAGGATTAAAATCGATTGTTAACGTAATTGGTATGTCAAGCATGACTCCGCCTATCAAAGATCTTCTTCCACGACTTACCCCGATATTGAAAAACCGGTATGTATTTGATTTCTTATATCGTATTATTAGGTATCTATCCCAAGCATAACATTGCTGTTGCTTATGTCTATTCAGGCACGAAAAGGTAGAGGAACAATGTATCGATTTGGTTGGCCGTATTGCTGACCGTGGGGCAGAATTTGTAAGTGCGCGAGAATGGATGCGCATTTGTTTTGAACTATTAGATATGCTTAAGGCACACAAGAAAGGCATCCGAAGAGCCACCGTCAATACATTTGGATATATTGCTAAGGCAATTGGACCACAAGATGTATTGGCAACTTTGCTTAACAACTTAAAGGTACAAGAACGACAAAATCGAGTATGCACCACCGTAGCGATTGGTAAGTTGTTATTATCCATGCATATAGATACCCAATTTTAGCATTGTTAACCGTATACTATCCGTTTCACAGCAATTGTAGCAGAGACCTGCGCGCCATTTACAGTTTTGCCTGCTTTAATGAATGAGTATCGTGTTCCAGAACTTAATGTTCAGAATGGTGTTTTAAAGGTTCGTATATATATCAGATTACGTAATTGTAGATATCGATCATCTGAATTGGGAACTGATGTTACTTTGAACTTTTAGTCACTCTCATTCTTATTCGAATATATCGGTGAAATGGGCAAAGATTATATTTATGCGGTGACTCCGCTATTGGAAGATGCTCTTATGGATAGAGACCTTGTACATCGGCAAACCGCTTGCACCACAGTAAAACGTATGTAAAGACATTTTCTTAAGGGATCACATTGATCCAATTTACGTGTACGCAGTTAACTAACAGATGGTCTTCTTATGTAAAACAGATATGGCATTGGGGGTTGCAGGCTTAGGGTGTGAGGATGCACTTCTTCATCTTTTAAACTACGTTTGGCCTAACATCTTTGAGACCTCCCCTCACGTTATTAACGCAGTAATGGAGGCGATTGAAGGCTTGCGCGTAGCTCTTGGACCTGCGACGGTATTACAATATGTCTTACAGGTAAATGAAATGATAATTAGTATCGTTTGGCAATTTTTTGCATTTCCTGACCTTGCGCATCTGCTGACTTTGTCTGTTTTGTAGGGTTTGTTCCACCCAGCACGCAAAGTGCGCGAGATTTATTGGAAGATCTATAACAATTTATATATTGGATCTCAAGATGCTTTGATTCCCTACTATCCAAGAATAGAAGACGATGAGCGAAATAACTATGAGAGATATGAGTTGGCTATGTGGCTATGAACTGTAGAATAACTTGTTTTTTTTGCCAATACACAATTTTTTCATTATTTGTAATAAATCAGTATGTCAAGGAAACCTGATCTTCTAGCTATACCATTAGCTGCACATATTAATCCCACCTTTATAACGGCTGAATACGGCTCCGGTGCAAGTCACTTTATATTACAGTCGGAGATTTTGTAGAGAATTTGATGACGCCTGAGTGGTTTGGCGGTTTGATGCTGCTACGAACCAATCTAATTGACATTGTTTCATATGATTTATCTTTTCTTTTTCTATATCACGTAGTAATCGTCATATTAGCAACAGATCATCTCTACTGACTTTTATGTTGTCATCACGTTTTGTTCTAAAAACATCAAGTGTGGTCTGAACTGCAGAGTGAGCTTTCCTGTATGAAATGACTCTTCCGCGTTAGTACTATCTGATGATTCATCATCACCTTGAAGAAATAAATTGATTATCTCTTGATCGCTTACTAATTTGATATATTAATGTTTCTTCTTATGCGTTTGTACAGTTCTATGTCTTTATTAGGATGTTTGGCAAAAATTCATAATGATAGTTAATCAATTACTTGACTTCGCCGGTATAAATAAAGTAAAAGCTTTTATATTTAATATATACAGTCAGATTTCATGCAGATCGTTTCTTTTTATGATAGTAAAGAAAATTATTTATAGACCAGCAAGCAATTTGAAGGGTATTCTAAAGAACTATCTAAACGGTGTCGCTCATTGTTTTTAATTAATCATTGTACAAATCACCTTGCAATTTTCATCAGACTTTTAAATACGATCTTGCTGGTGGTTTGAGAGTTCAAATCTTTTTCTCTGTTGTTTAAAAGAAGTCATTCATTTAGTAGGTAGCGCAAATGAGTCGCTATATTAGGATAGATATTGTGAAACATGCGTTTTTGACCATGAAATTGACCTTTTAATTTCAACTCTTATTCCACAATGCCTATTATATCTATTCTCTCTCTTCAGCACATTAGATTTCATGTTCTCATTCTAATTACGTTCATTTTACGTTTCTTCGGCCCGATATTTCATCCGATATCAGTCTTTGCGTGGTTGTGGTTCATTCTCACCATCTTTTATACGCGTTCTCTTGACAGACAACGGGTGATATGGATCGTACTGCTTCTTATAGTATATAGTGTTGCGTCGGCACTAGCACAGTTGGGTACGATGAATTTTGGAAATGGAAGAATACGACCTAGTGGTGGGATAATGGTGTGTGGATTTTGCCTGGTGGGAGCTGTCCTACTGGGTTTATCGTTGGCCATGGATAGGATGTCGCAGTTGCGATTTACTTGGGCGAAGCACGTTGTATTTGCATTTACCTGGACTGGTAAGAAGGAAGAATGCAGCGATTAGGATGGGAGAGAGAATGATTTGATATATCTTGGTTCTATTATATTTATAGGCCTATGGACTCTGTGGCAACAATTCAGTCCGATAGGCGACTTTGGCAGTTATGTGTGAGTATCAGACACAGTTATTATCACGCCCAACATAACATTATATCCATCACACGTTTATATTTTTTGCCTTAATAGAAATATACTTTCTGAACAGTCTTGGAAGTTGACTTTTTCCATGCATACCCTTCTCTCAGCCAAATATCATCCGGCTGCTTCGTTGCTCTTGACAAATTAGTGAATTTTTAAATTGAATATTAATACAGTATGATCTATCTTATCTCAACTCTACAATTCTTATTTCAATTCAGATACTCTCAATTCAACCAACCAGAGCTTCTCCAATTTGCATCCATCGCTGGCTTAGGCGGCATTGATTTCATTCTATCATGGGGTGGTGCAATTGGTGCATATATTTTATACACGTTCATCGACTACCAAAGACGTAATTCTTTCCTCTCACGCATTTACTCTCCCGTGGTAGTGTACTTGGTAGTATTATCTCTCATTTATACGTATGGATCAATACGACTTGCAGTTGCTGAGACGCCCTTTTATCAACGTAGTATGCGAACTTATATTCCTAAATCATTGACAAGGGTTGGTTGTGTGCTGGGCAAAGTTTTCAATGGAACTACTGATGAAACCAATGCGTACTTGGTGGATGAGACGCGTAAATTAGCTGAGAGTGGTAGCCAAATAGTAATCTGGAGCGAAGGCGCTGCAGCGGTGTTTAATGAAGAAGAGAAACACGCTTTGTTCAATGCAGTTCGCGACTTGTCCGTTACCTACAACACCTACATCGCATTTTCGTACATAGATCATGCAGAGCAATATAACAAAGTGACACTGGTATCTTCAGAAGGAGAAGTTGTAATTGACTATATTAAGGCACATCCAGTTATCGGGGTAGAAAAAGTTAGAGCTGGGCCAGATGAATTGAAAACTGTGGATACCAAATTTGGGGTTGTTGGCGTTGCTGTTTGTTTTGATTATAATTTTCCCCGGTTGATTAGGCAGGCTAGCAAAAAGAAGGTTGATCTTATGTTACAACCAAGCAGCACTTGGGTGAGTATAGATGGGACTTTCCAATAAGTTAATAGCTATATGAATTAGGACGATGAATTATGCTTACTTTTTATGTTTTGTGTTGCTTTTCTACCTCGTCCCATATAGGGTAAGTAAAAAATATTCTGTAGCGTAACATATTGTATAAGTTTGGTTTAAATATATGCCTTTATTAATATTAACAGGCCCAGTTGGACCAGTACATGCACACATGAACTCTATCAGAGCTATTGAGAATGGCTTTATTTCCTTTCGCTGCAGTTCGGACGGTGTTAGTGGAGTCTGGAGTTCGTACGGGCAGATTATACACGCAGTACCAACTTCGTTCACTCCAGCTGTCATGTTCGATATACCACTGAGGAAAAGAGTCATGACTGTTTATGGAGAGATCGGGGAGACCTGGGGATATTTATGCGTCCTGATAACTATTATGTTGCTTGCATGCTTGATTGCTACTGAATATGGTTCGCAGAAAATGAAATATTGGGTGAACCGTCTTTTATAAATACATGATGATATCGAAGTACTTGTGCTTATATAGGTAACATTAGTCTCAGAGGTTGATAATTGGGTTAGAGAAGACTTAGGGGTAGGGGTGGGGGTTAACAACTTTCAAATAAGGTGATAATTTATTACATGTAATAAATGATTGTAGTTTTTATTGAGAGATGTCAACAATTAACGATTGTCATATTCCAAAAAAGTCACGAATCATATTATGAAATCGTGCATATTGCATTAATTAAACTTGTGTTCACAGCATCATTTTGTCACTTTACAAATATCATTTCACCTTCCTTTACTAAAAAAGGATCGTCAAAGTCAGCGAAAGAGTTTCGCCGATTTTATACTGACAAAAGCGCAAAATCCACATTGTTAAAATATAAACATAAAAGAGTTTAATTCGCGTTCCATGTACGTACTAGTAGCACAGCTACAACACCTATTTGTGTAATATCTCGATAGGTTAATACAGTGAACCCTCCATACCTATTCCCGAGCCATATTCTACACTGCACGGTCTTTTCGAGCACCATAGTAAACTTCCCTCTATAAATAAAAAAATTACTGTGCCCCGATTATAGACAAAGACCAAATAAAGCTAGGATGAAATCACACCAGAAACAACCCGAAACTGTTGGAATTATACGAAAATTCTTCCATACATCTCTCAACCTTCCTGATACTAACTATGTCAATTGAAAAAAATTTTGAGTAACCCGGAAGAAGACGAAGTTTATGTAGTTCCTGACAATGAAGAACTTGTTGAATTATATAAAAACAGTCAGATTTACCTACCAATAGCAATTGCGAAGAAGCCGATGACAGTATTGAACCCAAAATAATTAGTGTTAACGAGGCTTCAAAAAGCTTAGAATAGTCCATAATTTTCTACAACAACAAAACAATGCTGAAACATGTCAAAGCTCTTGACGAATACATTAATCTAAGAAAAACGACTGCAATGAAAACAGACTACCCGTGACCGTTATACTATACTAATTCATACAATAGGCTTGGTGTGCATTTATGGAAATAAGTAGATATCATTGATTATTTATTATTTAAAAAATTGATCCATGTAGTCCGATAAGTCACGCGTATAATTTTAATTAAACTGATTTCGTGCCAACGGAGATTAATTAGTTCTCCAACAATAGAAAGTAAGCATAATTTTTTATGTATATTATCTTATGTCATCATTTATTTATCGTAATATATCAGTTGTTAATCGTTCAGAAAGACAATAAAAAGGTTGACAACCAAACTGCAATTATGAACGTAGAAAAAACAAATGCATCGGGAATGAAAGACCTTCAGTGTGTCAAACTCAAAGAAAGCGAATAATCGCTTCTCTAAAACAGCCTACCTTAGAAACTTTTTATAAAGATTGGATTATCTATTATATTTACAGTTTATTTATTATTATTATTATGATAAAGTCGGATACCTCGTTAAGTCGGACGCCCCGACGAGTCCGACGCCTATGTATATAAATTCGGCTTAGTGACATTTGGTAAAAGCGAAAATCTGGATAAGCCGAATAAATTGGCTCTGCCCCCGACCTTTGTCTTATCGAGTTTCACTTGTACTCACGCTTCGTAAATATATACTTTTTTGGGGGGGTTTTTTTTCCGAAAAGCACAATCAATTAGCTATCCTTCGTATTGTACACATGAGCAGGAGCGATTTTTTAAAAGAAAGACATTCCATATGTGATCACTCACTTCTGGCAGGGTGCTGTACCAGATAACATATACTCTTACTATCGGCTCAATAAATGATGCATAAGATTGCAATCCACCCGCTCTACAAACACGATTCCTAAACAGTAAGAATCAAGGACGCGTAATTCGGCCGTCAAACTCGCGATAAGGCCAACCCGCTCGCAGGTCATGGTATACAATAATTCGTTATTTAAAATTCTAGAGGATTTAGAACTTTATTTTTTGCTACGATAATTAGGGACACTAGGACAAAGATAATCAGCTCCAGAAAGTTAAAAAGGAGATGTTATGAGGCGACGAAGTAAGTTAAGGGTTAAGGGTTATATATTCCCAGATAAAATCTTACTAGATCCAATTTTTATTTTATTTTAGTTGACATTATATTAAAAGGGGATGAGTATTAAATGACAATTGATTTGCAAATTGACATTATAACTTACATTCAATATTCACTTTAAACCTTGTGGAGAGATTATTTACAATTTTCCTGGGGTGTGTGTAAAATCTATTGAGTTATACGAAATGTCAAATGGTACAAGATATTATTAACTAATACAAACCCTTCGTTGTTATCATACAATGCAGATAGTAGTACAATGGTGGAGTTGCAACAATTGAGGTACACCATAAAATTTTGAAGACAATAGATATTGAAGCAAATTAATTATATTATAAAACTGTAGAATCAAGGAAGAGTATATGTACTCCACACATATAATCATATATTTTTATACCATAATTTAAAGATGATATATATAATTTACCGTTAACTTTTTTTCGAAAAAAACTATTGTCATTCACATAGTACTGAAAAAAAAAGAGACTTTTCATATGTTTTACTAGTAAAAAAATATGAATCCGGTGATTTATAGTAGGGCAGTGTAGAAGTCGGAAAACAAAACTGGTATTAATCGGGGTACAATTTCAAGAATGCGACTACAGCTGTATTGAATTCTAGGTCCCGACTTCATTTATATTTTTTTCAATATTCTGATCTATATATGTCCTGTTGATCTTTGTAAAGGATCAAACCGGGATCATTCGTCTGTTTTACCCACATTCTGATAACATTATCTAAATAATATACATAGCACTCAATTTTATCGTAAGCCTTTATTTACCACCTGATGGTTTTTGACCAATCATAATACAAAGCCATTCAAGAGGTTTCTACATAATTAAACGGTATGACATTTCATATAAATTGTTCAGCAGTATTAGTAATATATAAATAACGTTTGAGTCATTTATTATATAGTGAAAAGTTTCGATATAGTAAAGAAAAATCCCGAGGTTTGACAGCAAAAACTCAGAAAACTAGTTGGGCGAGCTGTCGGCAATTCAACAATTGTTGATAATACAGACAGTTTTATTTATTACATAGTCAACATCATTAATCCGAAGTCAACGAGACCGAGACTTAAGTTCGGATTAACGGCATCTTCGGATTAACAAGTCTTTATTTATTATTGTTTAGTTATTATACAATTTCTATAACGTCTTCATCAATTGGTATTCCAAGTAAATGATTATTATCCATCTCGGGAATCTTTAATTCTTTGTTTGGCTTACGGTTTATGAAAAAATAAATTCACAATATCTATGTGCTTACGTCCGTCGAAGATTAAAGATTTTCGAAAATTTATGTTAAAACGGTAGTTATAATGCTATTTTCAGAAGTTAATTGCAATGCGTCCTTGTAAAAATGATTCAGACGATTTGGTTTAGGTTTCATTGAATACCAATCCCAAAAGGTAAAATTTTCTAAAATTTGAGTCTTTGTAATTATATATTGTCATATTTCACGCATTGTTGACAATTTAATAAAACCAAATCGTCTGAAAATTTTCGAAAATCAACATTTATACAAAGCGTGGTGATCACTCACTTTTGTCATAGTCAACCTCGTTAATCCGAAGAAATATTCTGGTCCCTAAGAATTTTACCTCGTTTATCCGAATTTTTTATGTAATCCGAAAAACTTGTCATATAAAAATTCCTCGTTGACTCTCTTTGAATAAGTTTACTTATTACATTGGCCTAGTGTGTTAGTAAAATATTTACTTCATATATAATATATATATATATATATGAACAACTTTAACGTTCGATCTGCAAAATTTCGTAGTGATCACTCACTTCGTCAGGGCACTGTATCATTAGCCATTATAATAAATGACGCAATTATTGGGTAATTATTTTGTTACGTTACTAAAATAGTAAAGATTATCCGTAAAAATCACGTGGTCCGACTTATCGAGAGTCATTTGTTATAATCTGGTCGACAGGATTGTCCGAGTTACGACTTATCGCGATTTTATATATGTCGTCCGACTTATCGAAATTTTTTAACTATTCAAAAAAGGGACCGAAAATTTTTGTCCGAGTTAAGCCAAATCCGACTTATCGAGCCGTCCGACTTATCGAGTTTGTCTATGTATATATTTGCACAAATTTTCGACTTACAATTCAACAGCATAAACTTTGTAAAACGAAAGAACTGTAACGTATTCTGATGTTTAGTCTCAATTATTCTTTTTAATTTTCTTAAGTTAGATAAGAAAGTAATATCAACGTCGAGTTTCATTGTCACAATCTTGACTAACATATAAAAGACGTGCTCGAGAGCTGATTTATGAGAAATGGACATTACATTCAAGAAACGAACCAATCAATACAAATTCACGTGACAACTTCGGTAAAATTATTTTGTCGGTTGTTCGAAAACTTTCGGCTTATCTTTTAACGTTAAATTTCGGCTTACGCTATAATAAAAATTTTCGGCTTAGCGTGGTTTCGTCTTAACGAGTTTCACTTGTATACTGCTATACATATATAATTATAGATTTTCATATCGTGATTTAAAGACGCTACTTCAACTTGCTACCGCTTTATAACAATAATTTATAAAACTTTAGGAAAAGCACAATCGATTAGCTTCCGAACCATACAAAAATATATTATCCTTCGTATAGTACACATGGGCAGGAGAGATTTTTGAAAAGAAAGACATTCCATATGTTTTACTAGTAAATTTTCGCGGTGATCACTCACTTCTGGAAGGTACTGTATGTTATCGAGTACATTATATACAGTCAACTCTGTCTATATTGGCCTTTTTAATACCGGTTTCGCCTTATATCGGTCCAATTTCGCTGCACCAAAAGATTATATATTAATCTCACACCCATATGACGGCTGAATCATATAGCGGTCTCTCGTTATAACGGCCAAAACCTGCTCGCGCCGGTATAGACAGAGTTGACTGTACAGTACACATCGAGTAAATGATATCTGGGCAGTGTATGCATCCTATGTCGCGTAATTGCTATCGGTTAGTGCTGTAAAACACATTATATTAACAT